AATGAGATGGCAGATACTTACAGTGGAAATGACCTCTCCCTCAGAGCAAAGGTGAGGAGCTCAATCATTCGGAAGAGGCTCAGATTTGACCAACTACTCACATTGAGAGGAGGCAGCTGAGGTGGTTAAGGGTTAGGATGACTCTCAAAAGCCTCCTGGGTGAGATGTTTCTGAGGCCCGGCAGCAGACCCAAGTCACACTGGAAGGATTACATCTCTCAGCTGGCTTGGGAACAACTTGGAGAGCGTCTGGATGAACTGGAGGAGGTAGCCAGGGGATGGCTGCTGACATTGCTGTGGATGGATCTGATATCACCCAGTTCTGAAGTTCTAATCTCAGAGTTTTGTGGAAACCTTCCCCTCCAGATGAGAAGATGTTATGTCCATGTAGCTGGGCTGCCTCTGTGTCCACTGTAGAGCCCATACATCCAGGAGCGCCAAAGACAAACGGAAAAAAAACTCAGGTTATTCAGATGTGCCCAAATAGAGCAGCTAATAGCAAAAAAGTCACCACAATAATGACTGGGGCAGCAGTCAATACTCATTTTGGTATGTCTGAATCAACACAGCCGAGATATCAGTCAGATGAGCTGTTTCTTTCTGAAAATGACTTCACTGTTTTATTAAATCCCTTCACAGACCACACATGAACATTCCCGTCTCTTCTCCTTTAGATTGGAGGCCAGTAATGTAAATTCCCATAATGACGGAGTCAGGAAGGAAAACAAAACTGGCCAAAATGAGCTCTCAGGTGACCAGAGGCAGAGCTGGATCAAAACTGCTCCGCTGCGGTACGAATGTGTCGATGAAAGCAGCTGATAACAGCTTCTCCACCATCGTCAACCTGACAACTGAGTAAAAGAGCAAAGTTAAATGAGGTGGAGAGGCCAACGGGTGGTAGGAGGCGGTGAAGGGCAATTAAACAAAATCAGCATCAAAGCAACAAATTGACAATTTACTGTCTGGTTTTTAAAAAGCATCATAGTTACAATTTAAAATGATAGCATGTGTTTCTAATCTGCAGCTATTTTAGTCTCTTACACCGCAATAAATGATAATTCTATTGCAAGAACAAAAAAAAAAATCAAGTGTTTTTTATTATTAGAGCTTTTAAAAAGTTTCCCCTAAGTAAGTGAGCAACATGTTCACAGCCATCTGAAGCTGTTCACATCAGACATTTGTGACCTGCTGGGCTGCCACAGTGCAGGGAGGCGAGAAGTGGTCGACATCCAAGGACAGGTTGTTCATCATGTGAAGAAAATCCATCAGCTGGGAAAACATCAAGCTTTACATCCTTGGATGGACAGGCTGAGGCTGTTTAGTGAACACATAGGTCCAGCTGTCCTTACGTAAGACATTGGAGCTCTACTTAAGAGCTACTTGAGGCTCTACCTGTGCATTTGGGTGACAAACACACTACAGAGCTCTCTGGTGACCCAGTACGGTTGCTGGTCCTATAAAAGTGCATTCTAATGGGCATTATCACCTTTATCTCATCCATAGGTTTGCAGAATCAACCATATGTGCAAAACGGCTTAATTAGGAATCTGCACCTTCGTCTTTGAAGCCCCGACTCGACACACCACACAGCAAAACCAAAAAGACAAGAGAGCATAGAGAGAAGTTTTTGTCTCTCCAGCTGGTTTTAACCTTCGCTCTTACGCTTGTCTGTACTATCCGTAAAATTCAGTCACTGTTATGAAGGGAAAACATGGGAATCTGTTAGGATTATGGAACTGCAGCTCATAAGATTATTTCAGCATTAGGAGAAATGTATGGCCCTTTATGTGGTTGATGAGACTAGAAAAGTGCCATATAACTGCAGTCTGTTTACCATGTCTTAAAATAGCCAACTTGTGGCCTAAATCTCAGCACACTTGATCAAAGAGCACAAAAACCTGACCTGATAGTCTGATAGTGAGGAGCCATATAAGCTTTTTCATTCTCCAATTTAGCATTTCCCCAAGTTTTTATCTTCTCCTGCTCTGTTTATTTAACTTTCCCGAGAGAGGAAGTGTGTTTTTACCGCTGAAGATGACGAGGGTAATGATGATGAGGCGTGTTTGTTGAAGGCTGGGTGGTTCCTTAAAGCTGAGATTTTCTTCCTCAGCAAAACATTTTATTTGAATCCTACTGAACTATTATTCA